GTGCTGTTTGGGAACCCCCTCCAGGGCAGCGGGTGCACGTTGGGGGGGGGATACGCCCATCCGTCTCACCGACTTAAATATCATGCTGGACTGGGGGTTTGGTTTTGCACTACCTGTGGAAGCTTTGCAGCAGAACAGCTGGCTAAGTTATCCAAGGAATGTGAACCTAAGCGTAGTCGTCAAGACTACCTTTCTCGAATTCAACAGGGTTTATGGCCCAAACAATACAGCAAAGCTGAGCGAGCCAAGCGGGCCGCGGCGGGTAAGCCCGTGTAAGTTTGCTGCTTCGGCATCCGTTAAGTAACCGACATGGTCGCAATATCCGTAACTCCGTAACTCCTCCTCCTCCTCCTCCTCCTCCTCCTCCTCCTCCTCCTCCTGCTCTTCCTTCTCTTGCTGCTGCTCCTCCTCCTCCTCCTCTCCTCCTCCTCCTCCCCTCTCCTCACTACTCCTCCTCCTCCTCCTCCTCCTACCTCCCCTCCACTCCCCTCCCTCCCCCTCTCCGCCTCTCCCTCCCTCACTCCCCTCCTCCTCCGCCTCCTCCTATCCTCGCCTAGTTCCTTCTCCTCTCTCCTCCTCCTCCTCCTACCTCCTCCTCCTTCTTCATCTCCGTCTCCGATCCTCTCCTCCCGATCCCCCCCGCCTCCCCCCCGCCACCCGAGCATGTTTGATCCTCCTTCCTCACTCCTCCTCCTCCTCCTCCTCCTTTCCTCCTCCTACCTCATCCTGCATTTACTTCCTTCCTCCCTTCAACCTCGCCTTCCCCTGCCTCCTGCTCCTCCTCCAACTGCTCCTCCTCCTCCTCCTCCTCCTCCTCCTCCTCCTCGATCCTCCTCCTCCTCTCCTCCGCCTCCTCCTCCTTTTCCCCCCTTCCTTCCTGCTGCCCCTCGTGCCCCGAAGACTGGGCAGCCTCCAGTGCGGAGAGTTGGCGGCGAGCCCGGGGGGGAAGCGAAAAGGAGAGTGCCTCCCCAGAGGGCCCGAATTCCACCTGGCCTTCTGAGAAGTGGTCTAAGCCTTCCCCGAAGACACAGAAGAAACTTCTCAGATGCCCCGAGGGCTTCTGAGAAGTCCCGCCGCCTTCTGAGAAGCCCTTCTCCTGCTCACTTCCCCCTATCGCTCGCCTCCGCGAGAGGGTGGCTGGCCCCTGCGATAGGACAGCGGGACGAGCAGAGGGCGAGGCGCTGGGGGAGGGAGCCCTCCGGCGCTCCTGGACCCCAGGCGTCGTCACGGGCGTCTCGGGCGTCGTCGCGGGCGTCTCGGGCGTCTCCGGGGCATCACAGGGCATGGCGACGCCCCGGTATCCTGGCACCGCGCTGCCCCGAAGGAAACACGCAGAGGCGCAAGGGGGTCGGGGGAGCGAGGGCCCGAGGGCGGGGGGGAAGGCGGAGGCGGAAGCGGAGCGAGGCAGAGCTGGAGGCGGGGGGGGGGGGAGAGGGTGAGATAGGGCGGGGGGGGGCGAGAAGTGGGAAAGGGGAGGGGGGCGAGAAGGGAAGGGGAGAAGGACAGAGGAGCGGGGAGGGGGCGAGAAGTGGAAGCGGGAGGAGAAGATCGAGGGGTGAGGGGGGACGAACGTGGGGACGGGGACATGGGGGAGGGGCGGCAGGGGGATGGCACCATCATAACCTTCAACCATCACCCCACCACCAGCACCATCACCACCATCACCACCATCGCCATC